GATAGATAGATAGATAGATAGATAGATAGATAGATAGATAGATAGATAGATAGATAGATGCTATCAATATTGTACATCCAAGGATACCTTTCTATATATGATTTGGTTGCAACTTCTCAGGCACTACATGTACAAGATAAACAGATATATAAATATATTTACATCCAAAGGCATCTTTCTACATATGATTTGGTTGCAAAATATACCCTACTAGGAACACTGCTATCAAGACTGAACTTGGCCAGCTTTGGAGTGGATGCCAAAGAGCTTTCAATTCTGACCTCTAGTGGCTTCAAAATATTCTGGAGTACTTGAGGTGCTTCTTGGTGTCACTGTGCCAGCAGAGCAGGTGCTACGTGGTTGGCTGGGCTCTGCAGTCATTTGGCAAGTGACAATTCTAGGCCAGTCCTGCTCTAAGTACCCAGGGGTCTACTGAGCTTTGGAGGTGGGAGGGGGTTGGTTTTTCAAGACAGAGTTTCCTTGTGTAGCCTTGGCTGTTCTGTAATTAGCTCGGTAGACCAGGCTGACCTCAAACTCAGTGATCTGCCTGCCTCTGTCTCCCAAGTGCTGGGATCAAAGGTGTGTGCTTCCCAGCTCTCTATTGACCTTTTTGATGCTCCGGAAATTCTATGTCCCAGCTGGGTGTCCCATTTCTGAAGCAGAAGTTCCCTAAGACAGCCTGACCTCAGTGATCACTGCCATATAGTGAGCTGCGCCTTCCACCACTACAGAGTCGGCAGCAGCTTGCTTCATTGCCTCGGTAACTTAAAAGTCGGTTTCTTAAAAGGAATAAATATACAAGTTGTGTGTGGAATAAATTCCATATACAATGGATAAAATAAAACCTATGACTCAAGTTCAGGGTCATGTGGCAATATGTTCAGAGGTGAAGGTCTTTGTCACAGAGCTGGACCCCCAAGACTCACAAGACAAGAATGGATTCCCACAAGTTGTCCTCTGAATGAACTCGGCACAGAAGGCAGATACTCAAGGGCATACCTGTGCACATGCACACACACATACACACTATGCAAATGTTTGTTTTTATTTTAAATCTATGACTCAGCTACATTTGGAGATTTCACTGTTTTGACAGGATATTGTATAGCCCAGGCTGGCAGAGGATGACCTCGAACGCTCAATCCTCCTGCCTCCACCTCTGAAGTGCTGGCGTTACTACACCCAGCAAGTTATTATAATCACACAGCAAGCTTGAGAATCTAAGGTTAAAATTATCATAGGAATTGGAGAGATCATGATCTCAGGTCATGCTGGTCCTCAGAGGCAGCAGCTAGCACCTTTTCACTTCACTCCATTCCATCTGGGCCAGGGCCTCCACCGAATTCCAGCACCTCAGCCAGGACACAAGAAGTCCATAACTGTCCTTTACTGAGCCAGACAAGAGCTTAATGCCCACACCATCCCATGAGGTAGCAGTTACCCACAACCGTTTTCAATCAAGAGCCGTCCTGGTTCCTTTGGTTATCAACTTGACACACCCAGAAGAAGAAGGGATCCTCAACCAGAGAACTGTTTGGACCAGAATACCCTGGGTGAATGTCCATGGGACATTTCTTGTTTGCTAGTTGGTGTAAAAGGGACTGGGTGGTCCTATTCCTGGGCAGGTAGGCCTAGGCTGATACCTAACTCAGGCATGGCAACACATCTTTAATCCCAGCAGGCAGATCTCCGTGAGCTCAAGGCCATCCTGGAGCAAGTTCCAGGAAAGCCAGAGTTACAGAGTAAGACTCTCTGTGTAAAAGAAATAATGATGAAAATAAAAGAAAGTTATCTGAGTGTAAGCCTGTTATCTGCTTCAAGCTCTTGCCTTGAGCTCCTGCCTCAGCTTCCCTCCTCCATGATGCACTATAACCTGTACACTAAAGTAAACCCTTTTGCTCCCCAGTTGCTTTTGAAACAACAGCCAACTCTCTGAGAGGAGACAGAAGTGTGCAAAGGCCCAAAAGAACTATGACTGACTGGCCATATTTGCCTGATTACCCACTCTTTAACAGTAGATCAATCAGTTACCACCACAGCTACCTTTGAACATTGCCCAAAACCATTCCCAAGAGAGACACCTGACAGACCCGCTCCCCAGAAATCATCAGAGTACATTATACCTGCCACCACCACACATACCCCCTGTCAATGCTCCGCTATGGTCCAACTGAATGTGGTCAGCTAATAAAAAAGGACCAACATTGCCACCTAAAGGAAGATGAAAGCATGGCAGCCAGCATCCATGGTCTTGGGAGTCTAACAGTCCGAACACTGCCCCTAGAGGATGATGAGGGCATGGCAGCCAACAGCTATAGTCTTAAGATTCTGACAGTGCCAACACTGCCTCTAGAGAAAGATGAATGCATGGCTGTCAGTAGCCATGCTTTTTAACAGTGCCAACAGTGCCCCAGAGGATGAGGGCATGGCAGCCAGCAGCCTTGGTAATACAGTTCCATCTGAATCTTTGAAGGTTATCTGGGGAGGGAATGTCCCCTTCCAGGGGACCCATGAGCAGTGTCCAAGCCCACCAAGTTAGCACTTTCAGCCCAAAGTCTCCGGGCTACTTCCTCATCTTCAGCCTCAGGAGATGGAGCCTTCTCTCTGAGTCCATCAAAGTACTTCCCAGAAACACTCTCTAGTTCCTCTGCCACTGCCAGGTAAGTGCTGGGCTGGGCCGCCAGCTGGGGACTCTTGAACAGCAGCCAGAAGAAGGGCCCTACAATCAACCATAGAACATTCAGTCAAAAAAAAATAAAAAGAAGGAAAGAAAGAGAGAAGAAAAGAAAAGAAAATTCCCTGCTCTACCCCAAGGAACCCAAAACCCCTAGGGATGGAACCTGTCCTGAAGCCCCATGGACCCACCTCCACACCTTTGTCCTTGCAGTTCCCTCTATCTAAAGGTCCCTTCCCTGGCAACATCCACCCCCAAAAAAAAAACCTCCAAACAGAGGGATGAGCACAAAATCTGCCTTCTACAGGAAACCTCCCCGGAGTTTCCAGAAAGATGAAAATATATTTTTCCCTATTCTATCCTTGAAAATAATCTTTCTTCTCAGACAGGGATACATGTAGCCCAGGCTGGCCCTGAACTCACTATACAGCCAAAGATGATCTTAAACTTCTTGTCCTCCTGCCTCTACCTCCCGAGTACTGGACAGCATATATACCAACATGTTTGATTTGATGTGGTGCTGCAGATCAAACCCAGGGTTTTGTGACATGCTAGCCAAGCACTCTGTCCACTGAGCTGCATCTCCAGCCCTCAATTTACTAAATACACTTCAAGGTACTCTTGGGTTAAAATTCTTGATACATGCCCACTATATGACTCTCAAGGATTATAAATACCAGTTACAATGTTCTATTGACTCAGACTACATTCTTCTTCTTCTTTCATTTCTTCTCTCATACAATACATCCTAACCACAGTCTTCACTCCCTCCACTCCTCCCAGTACCCCCTCGTTCCCTCCCCCAGATCCACTCCTCCTCCATTTCCTATCAGAAAAGAACAGGTATTCCAGAGTTATCAACTGGACACCAAATAACAAGATGCAACAGACTCGACACAAACCCTCACATCAAGGCTTGGCAAGGCAACTTAGTAGGAGGAAAAGGGTCCCAAGAGCAGGCAAAAAAAGTCAGAGATATCCCCACTCCTATTGTCAGGAGTCCCACAAAAAAAAAAAAAAAAAAAAAAAAAAAAAAAAAAACCCTAACAACTATAACATACATACAGAGGACCCAGCACAAACCCATGCAGGCTCTGTGATTGCCAATCCAGTCTCTATGAGCCCTGTGCTTAGTTGATTCTATGAGTCATGTTCTCACAGAGTCCTCAACCCCTTTGATTCCTACAATTCTTCCTCCCCCTCTTCTATGGGGTTTCCTGAACTCCAAGGGGAGGGATTTGATAGAGACCTCCAATTTCAGCTCTCTCTACCTAATGTTTGGCTATGGGTCAAACTACATTCTGGTCAGGCACTATGCAGTCAATCTATGGGCAATCTCACCTCTTCTTCTCACTGACTGTGAGGATAGTCCTATCATGGACTTCACTATGCAGATAAGGAAACTGAGACTCAAAGCAACAAGTACAGTGATCTTAGAGTTATCAGTGATCCCTGTACTCAGGAAGCAGAGGCAGGAGGAATGGAAGCTCATGGCTAAACTAGTCTACATATTAAGATGTTATAAAAACTGGGAGGTGTGTTTCCTGGGTGACTTAATTTTGAGTGAAGCTGAGGCTACGCTGTGTACAGCCTGACCCTAGAAATCAGCTCAAGGCTTATCCTCCAGGACAATTTTCTTATTCATCAGTGGGGCTGTAGCCTGTTTTCTGTTGATCTGAGGTCAGAACCACATAGAATTATGACTCATCTTCTACCCCAGGAAGACATGGGAAGGAGCAGAAAGAGGCACACACAGAACTCAGAAGGTAAAAGGGTCAGAAGTTTAAGACCAAGTTCAAGTCCAGCCTAGTCCTTAAGGCCATGTTGAGGGGGGAAAAATGTCAGGTGTGACAGCACATTTATTTAATCCCAGCACTCCGAAGCAGAGGCAAGCAGATCTCTGTGAGTTTGAGGCCAGCCTGGTCTACATGGCAAGTTCCAAGTCAGTCAGAGATACATAGTGAGACCCAGTCAGAGAGAGAGAATCAAAAAGAAATAAAGTGACAAGTCTCTGAGTGAAAGTCCTGGATCCTCGGCTAACAGGACTCTGTGAGGAGATACCAAGCTGGAAGGGGACTCACCAAGTGTGAAGCTGGAGAAGGCAGAGTTGTGCATGTCTGTATGTCTGCCCAGCTCTGTCCTGGCCACACCGGGGTGCAGAGCATTGACCGTCACACCTGTGCCTGGGAACAATAGAGACTGTCAAGTGGTAGGAAGATAGCTCAGCTGTTAAAAGCTTGTCACACAGGAGGTCCTGAGTTTGATGCCCAGAACCCAGGTCAAAATACATGCCCGCAACGGTAATCCAGGCTTCTAATCCCAAGTGAGTGCTGGGGAGACAGAGACAGGTAGATCCCCAGGGCTCACTGAAGTTAGCCTAGCCTAGGCGGTGAGCTCCAGGGCAAGGAGACACTGTCTCAAATAAAAAGCAACATGGATGGCAGCCAACATTGTCCACTGACTTACACACATACGCACGCAGACCACATGCATGCACACGTGCTCATGCACACATACAAACAGGCACACATAAAGACGAGTGAAAAAAGACCAGGTTGGCCCCTTGCCTAGAAGGCTGCTGTAGCCACCACTATACTCTGGGTCTTCCCAATCCTAGGCTGTTTCCCACACTTGAACCCACATTACCCTCTGTGCTCTGAAGCCTCCATCTCAAGTGGCTTCCCCAGCACAGCAGCCCTGGAAGCATGAGAGACCCACATTCCTGGGCTCCACCACCCCCACCAGGGTCTGAAGCAGGGGACTGGAATGGGATCTAAGATGCTGCAGTTATGACTATCTCCCAAGGGTGGCTGGCACTGCTGGCCACAGACAACTTTTGAGAAGCAAGAAGCCAGGGGAAGCTTCTTGATCCCTAACACTACATTCCTTCCATTAGAGTGGAAGGAACTGGGGAACCATCCAGGAGGATCAACCAACTAGATGCCAGGAGCAACCTCTCACGAACCCAGTTGTGACAGGCATGTCTGCAAACACTGATATGTCCCCTAGGGCCAAAACCACTCGCAGTGGACAACCACTGGCTTGGAGCACCAGAGGCTTAGAAAACTATCCAAGATAAGCATGTCTGATGAAGGCAGGCTGGTTGAGACCAAACAGCAATCATTAGAACCAGGATTTATTAGTGATGTCTACCTCCAGCACTGGAAGGGGCCACGGCATGGTGGTACAGATGCCATCTTTTTGTCTAAAGCTACTACGTGCCCTTCCACCAACAGCTCCGGGTTATAGAACTATTCCAGATACGAAGAGGAAGGAAGGAGAAGAGAAAAGATCGCCATGTGCACACCTTGCAGCCGGCGGCTCAGCTCCTTGGTGAAGAGGACAACAGCCAACTTGCTCTGGCAGTAGGCCGCCTTGGTGTCATACTTTTTTGTCTTCCAATTCAAGTCATCAAAGTCTATGTGCCCAGCAACATGAGCCAGGGAGGACAAGTTGATGATGCGTGAAGGGGCCGAGGCCTTCAGTTTGTCCAGCAGCAAGTTTGTCAACAGAAAGTGACCTAGATGAAGGATGACAAGAAAACACTATTTTCTCACAATGGCTATTTTACTTTTTTAAAATATTTTTATGGGTATGAGTGTTTTGTCTGCATGTGTATCTGTGCAAACCATGCATGCAGTGCCCATGGAGGCCATAAGAGGGCAGTGGATCCCCTGGAACTGGAGTTAGAGATGAGAGTCAAACCCAGGTCCTCTGCAAGGGCAGCCAGTCCTCTTAACCACTAAGCCACAATTTTAATTTTTCATTTCCAGCAGTGGCATAATCCTCCTCTTCCTCTATATTCTCCCTTGCCCACTTTATTATTCTGCTTGGAGTTGTTTTGTTTCTTAGGGGAGAAAAAAAACCTTAGATTTACATTCAGTTGATTTTTCTTTTTTTCTATTTTGGCTTTTTTTTTCCAAGACAGGATTTCTCTGTGAAGCCCTGGCTGCCCTAGAACTCAGTCCGTAAAACAGGCTAGCCTTGAACTCAGATTTTTGTTTTCAACTGAACATGGACCACAGCACGTGGAGGGAAGAGCATCCTTCCGGAGCTTGTATTCTCTCCTTCCACCACCATCCCAGGTCAGGGATCAAACCCAGATCAGGCTTAGCAGTACGTGTTCTGTTTCTGAGACAAGTCTCACTATGTAGCTCTGCCTGATGAGCCTAAGAACTCACTCGGTTGATCAGACTAACCTTGAACTCCAAGCAATCCTCCTACCTCTGCAAGGACTGAAGGTACACAGCACTGGATATGAGGGCAGGCTGACTGATGTTGATCTCAGCAAACCCATCAGGCTGGGCAGATACCCAATCCTCCCTCACTCCATGGACATCAGGAGCTGGGCACTTGGTTGAAAGGACCTTCTCCCTTCCATCAAGGATGTATTAGTGGCTGTGCTCCCCCACTAGAGCCATGGCGGATGACACCAAGCCCAGGGTTTCAGTTACTATTCTATTGTTATGAAGAGATACCATGTCATCCCTTACAAAACTTGCCTAGTTTTAGAGGGTTGATCCACAGTAATCACGGTGGCGGGCAGGCATGGTGTCAGAGAAGCAGCCGAGAGCATTATACCCTGATCCACAGGCAGAGGAGGAAAGAGACAAAGCCCACCCCCAATGACACACTGCCTCCAACAAGGCCACAACTCTTAACTCTTCCCAAACAGTTCCACTACCTGAGAACCGACCACTCAAATATATGAGGCTATGGGGGCCATTCTCATTAAAGCCACCATACCAAGTTAATTTTTTTTTAATCACAGCTATTCTGGTGGTGAAATGGCAGCTTCCTCTTACAGCCTCTCTTCCTTTTTTCTCCCTTCCATTAGCAGAAATGAGGACTTAGGGGAAGAATGTAAAAGTTAAAGAACAAAAGCATCATCCAATCATTAAAGAGGCTAACAAACTGAACTGAACTGAAGAAATGCAAATGGTCAACAAATATTTGAGAAGGCATTCTGTACCTTTAGCAGAGAAACTGTTCTGAGATGTCATCTCCACCCAAGTAAGGATGTCCATCACCGAGAAAACAGATGATGACAAATGCCGGTGAGGACGTGTGGAAAGGGAACCTACTCACTGCTACAGAATCTAAGATGGTGTCGCCACTATGGACATTAGTGCGGACTTCTCTACACTGGACTACCACACGGCCCAGTTCCACCTCTCCTGGACAGAGACTGAGGCGCTCTAAGTCAGCACACCACAGAGACACCTGCTCATCCATGTTCAATCTGCACTGCTCTGATTCCTATGGCCAGAAGAACATCAACAGATGGACAGATAAGATTATGTGATACCGAGACCTTGTATCCAAAAAAGAAAAAAGAAAAAGGCCAGGCACAATGGCATGTGCCTATAATCCCAGCACTGGGGAAGTAAAGGAAGGAGGATCAGATGTTCACAGTCTTTGGATACAAGTTCAAGGCTAGCCTGGGTCTCAACAGACAAGAAGTTGGGATGGGAGCATGCTGCAGAGGACAGGGTGAGTCTGGAGAGGAGAAATGCTGGGCAGAGATGATCATATTTCACTGTAAGCATATAGGAAATTCTCAAAGTTAAATTCTTTTTTTTAAGTTTTTGAGACTATACATAACCTTGACTGGTCTGGAATTTCTTATATAAACTAGACTAACCTAGGAATTCACAGAGATTCCACCTGCCTCTGTTTCCCCAGTACTAGGATTAAAGAAGGGTGTGTGCCACCACCTGACTGAGGGAAAAAATTAAAGAACATGTGATAGATATATGCAATGAAGAAATACAAGGCCGTAAAGAAAACTGAGATCAGAGCTGGAGAGACGGCTCAGCAGTTGAGAGCACTGGCTGCTCTTCTAGAGGACTCGGGCTCAATTCCTGGCATCCACATGGCTGCTCACAACTCCTATCCTAGGGGATCTGATACCCTCTTCTGGCCTGAGGTCACCAGGCATGCATGTGGTGCACAGACACACATGCGGGCAACACAGGCCCCCGCGCGCGCTCACACACACACACACAGTAAAAGCAAATCTTTTTTAAGAGAAAGAGAAAAAAACAGAAGGAAAGATACAGTCATTTTCACTGTCCATCTGGCACAACCTCGCCTGAAAACAGAACCTCAGAGAGGAGCTGCCGAGGTCATGCTTGGTATGGCCATGTCCGCAGGTATCTTGGTTATGATCACTACCCTGAAAGTAGCTGGTGCGCATACACCTCCCCGCTCTTGACTGTGGATGTGATGTGATCAGCCACTTCAAGTCCCAGCTGCCTTGACTTCCCAAAGCCATGGGACTGGAACTGTGAGTCAGATAAACCTTTTCTTCCCTAAACTGCTTCTTTGTCAGGGCATTTTATCACAGTCACAGAAATAAAATGATGAAAGAGTGCTGTGGGAAAGCCTTCAGCCAATTGCCTTTAAGATACTAGCCCACGGGGCTGGAGAGATGGCTCAGAGGTTAAGAGCAATGCCTGCTCTTTCAAAGGTCCTGAGTTCAATTCCCAGCAACCATACGGTGGCTCACAACCATCTGTAATGGGGTCTGGTGCCCTCTTCTGGTCTGAAGGCATACACACACAGACAGAATATTGTATACATAATAAATAAATAAATATTTAAAAAAAAAAAAAGATACTAGCCCACGTGGTCTTGTGACGACAGCAAGTGTGGGCCTCTTGGCTGCTGGATTCAGTTCCGGCTCCCAGAGCACGCTGAGGACTGCAGATGGCTACTCTTTCTGTGAGTTTATCCCCTAATAGATAAACCTTTGCTACACTCCAATCCAGGCTATTGTGGAACTGTTTTGTATGCCAACAAAAGAGGACTACGGGAAGAAAAGGAAGGCCTGAGAGAACAGCAGTCGGGGAGAGTAACAAGTGAGACCAAAGTATAAGGACATATACATACGAAAACACTATTACTTACATGATGACCTAAAAATTAATTTTTAAAAGCAATAGAGGAAAAAAAATCAAGACTCACTCAGACTATGGGACAGACACTTACATTAATAAATTTTAAAAGAATGGAGCAAGACCCCACCACCCAGATTGGGTGACTCCCCACAGAGAACCCACTCTCAGCCCAGATCTCACCCAGGTGGTTGACACCAAACTGCATCTCAAAGCCATCCTCAGTGGTCCAGTGTGGGCACCGCATCACAGCTGCATTGTTGACCAGAACATCTACCCGTTCCTCCTCTAGAAGACATGGGTGAGGACAGACACATCAGGGCTGAGGATGGGCTCCACCCCGGCCTAGGGTAGGACAGTGTCCCACACACATTCCTGTCTACCTGGCACCTGGGAAGGTGGACACTTGGGAAACAGCATCTTTGTAGAGATACTCCAATGCCACTCAGGTAAGATCATGGAAGGGGCCTTGATGCAACAGGGCTAGTGTCCTCCTAAGGGAGTCCAGCCAGGCTGAAGCACAAAGGGAGGAAATCCGGTGACAACAGACACCAAGACCAGAGTGCTGGGCACTGACTGGTAGAAGTTGGCTGCTGGGAAAGGGTCTTGGAAGTCACCAAAGGGTCCTGGGTTATAGCTTACTGGTCAGCCATGATGTGAGCAGCCTTTACCTCGTAGTCCCACAGCCACATCCTGAGCCTGAGCTTTGTAGCTGACATGGGGCAGGGAGAGGTGTAAGACTGTCACAGATGCAATCTAGTGCCGTCCTCGGGGCTGCAGATATAGCTCAGGTGGTAGAGTCTTTTGGTGTAGGAGAATTGTCTGTATTCTGTCAATCATATTTTAATAAAACGCTGATTGGCCAGGCAGGCAGTATAGGCAGGAAAGCCAGACAGGAAGTAGAGGTGGAGCAAAGAGACTGGGAGTATTCTGGCAAGCAGGAAGCTCCCTCCGCAGTTCTACCCTGACCATCGGAGAGGAAAGATGTAAGCTGCCCAGCTGAGAAAGGTACTGAGCCATGTGGCTAACATAGATAAGGATAATGGGGTAACATAAATTATAAGAGCTATTAAGTAGCCTGACCTAATGGGCCAATCAGATTTATAACTTATAGAGATCTCTGTGTGATTGATTTTCTCTGGGACTTGCCAGCTGTGGGGTACCGGGCGGGAACAGATACCCCAACAAGCTGGCCCTCATGTTACAGTCTTTGTCCAGCATGCACCAGCCCCTGGCTTCCATCTCTAGTACCACATAAAACAGGTGTTTACAGTCTTTGTCCAGCATGCACCAGCCCCTGGCTTCCATCTCTAGTACCACATAAAACAGGTATTGTGGCAACATCTGTAATCCAAGCACTCAGGAAAAGATAAGAGGATTAGAAGGTTGGGGTAGTCCTAAAACTACAAGGGAGTTCAAGGACAGCCTGGGCTAGACACCTTGTCTCAAAAAACAAATAAATAGCAACTGGGGAGATGGCTCTGCAGTTAAGAGTGCATAATGTTCTTAAAGAGGACCCCAGAAATTTTTCTGGCTGAAAAATCACAAAATGCTACAAACCAAGCAAGTTAAACAATAGAAATTGGGGCTGGAGAAATGGCTCAGTGGTTAAAACCACCTGCTGAGTTTGAAGAGGACCTGGGTTTGGTTCCCAGAACCCATACGGTAGCTGCCCAGATAGTTTCATGTCGACTTGACTCAAGCCAGAGATGTCTGAAAGGAGGAAACTTCAGTTGGGAAAACGGCTCCAGGAGATGGAGCAGAAGGCAAACCTGTAGGGCATTTTCTTAATCAGTGATCAGTGGGAGGACCAATCCACCGTGGGCGGGGTCGCCCCTAGGCTAGGGTTCTATAAGAAAGCAGACTGACCAGCTCAGGGGAAGCAAGCCAGTTAACAGCTTCCTCCATGGCCTCTACATCAGCTCCTTCATCCATGTTCCAGAACTGCTTGAGTTCCTGTCCTGACTTCTTTTAATGAGGACTATAATGTGAAAGTATAAACCTAATAAACCCTTCCCTCCCCAACTTGCTTTTGATCATGATGTTTCATCACAGCAATAGAAACCCTAAGACAGAGGCCCACCCATGTCTCCAGTTCTAAGGAATCCAATGCCTTCTTCTAGCCTCCTTGGACACCAGGTATGAACATGGTACTACATACATGCCAGCAAAATACTCATACACATAAAATAAAAATAAATAAATCTTTGAAACATCAGAAATGGATGGACAAGATGCTGGATCAGAACCTAAGCAAGAGCTGGTCCAGCTGGGGCTGAGGAAGGGAATCGGCCCCAAGCCTCGGCTAATAGATAGCCAGCTCCTCCCTATATTTCTTACAGCATCTTCTCTCTGTGCACAGCCCTCTGTGCCCCAGTTTCCCGTGATGGTGACACCAGGGATACTGACCTAGGACCTAGTCTAATGACCTCACTTCAACTTGATAATCTCCACAGAGAGCCTACCTCCAAACAAGATCACCTTCTGAGATCCTAGGTAGGAGTCAGGGCCTCCCCCACAGAGACATAACTGAACCCATAACACTTTCAAGATATTTTCAGTGGAGATAAGGAATTGGGTGTCTAGCACCTAAGAGACATGGACCAGGCCCTCATTCTTCACTTCATGAGGAAGAGATATATAGGACACCAATGAAGTACACAAGCTCCAAGCCACAGGTGGTAATATTAGCAGGCTATTGCAGAAGTTGAGGCAGGAGAATGACAAGTTCAAGGCCAGCCAGGGTAAAAAGCAAAACCTTGTTTCAGGGCTGGACAAACGGCTCAGAGGTTAAGAGCACACATTGCTCTTGCAAAGGACTGGGTTTCAATCCCAACCCCTACACCAGGGGTCAAAACCACCTGTCACTCTAGCACCAGGACATCCATAGCCCTCTCGTGGTCTCTGCAGGCACCTGTGCCCACATGCACAAACAGACACACAACCAAAAATAAGTAAGCTAGTAAATTAAGATAAATCATAGCTGATAGAGGCCACACACCTTTAATCCCAATACAAAAGAAATGCTCAGGTTGCATCTCCTTTTTATTCAGTCTGGGACCCCAGTCCATGGGCAATGCTGCCCACAGGTAAAGTCAGTCTTCCCAATTAACCTGTCTAGAAACTCCTCATGGACAGGCACAGCAGTTTACCTCCTGGACAATTCTAGGACCTGACACACGGACAACCAACACCACACGTCTGTAAGGAGCCAGGTTTGATTCCCAGCGTTGGAGTGGGAGGGGGGACATCAGATCTGAAAGCTGGCAGACAGGAGTTCGTGTCTTAGATCTAAAGCCTGACATGGTGGCTCATGCCTATAATCCTGGTCAGCCTGGGCTACAGAGTGAGACTCTGGTCTCAAAAATAAAAAACTTGACTGGATTTTTGACACTGACCAGTTCACATAGCTTCCCTGTGACTCGGTTTCTGCCTTTATTAAAAAGCATAATAGTGCCTGCCTAGTAGAAACACATAATTACTATCCAATCAACAGGCATTTGCTAAGCACCTATCATTGGGCACTGGAAATACAGGGTGGAGAGGAAAGTCAAGGTCACTGCCTTCCTGAACCGGACATTCCAGCAAGATTGAAAACCAAAACCCGCTCTAAAGGGGACTCTTCCCTTCATCAATAAGTTCTAACCACAGGAGGGTTCTTGGGCTAATAAGTGGTTTTATTAAAAGAAAAAAGAAACTAAAAAACTAAAAGACAGTCTCTGGCTGGAGACGGCTTAGAAACCCTGTCTCCAGAACAAAAACAAACTAACCAGGAAAAAAAAAATAACAAGGAGCTGGGGAGATGGCTCAGAGATTAAGAGCACTGACTGCTCTTCCAGAGGACCTGGGTTTCATTCTCAGCACCCACATGGCAACTAGCAACCATCTGTAACTCCAGTTCCAGAGGAGCCCATGCCCTCTTTTGGCCTCTGTAAGCACTGCATGCATGTGATGCACATATGTGCAAGTAAGAAAAACACTCATACACAGAAGTAATTTTTAAAAAATAAACTAAGAGCTGGAGAGATGGCTCAGAGATTAAGAGCACTGGCTGCTCTTCCAGAGGTCCTGAGTTCAATTCCCAGGAACCACATGGTGGCTCACAACAATGTATAATAAGATCTGGAGCCCCCTTCTGGCATATAGAAAAATACATATAAAGATAGATAGATAGATGATAGATAGATAGATAGATAGATAGATAGATAGATAGATAGATAGATAGATGCATACATACATACATACATACATAGATAATAAAATAAAAATAAATAGCATGTTGAACACATTTTACACTCCCTGATAGTTGCTTCAAGCTATGCTCCTATTCAAAACACTGACACGTGACAGTTTTAACATCACCTAGAAAGAAACAAAGGGGTGAGTCAGTCCTCAGTGTGACAGAAATATAGAATTTGTCAGCTGAGTCCTGGGTTATCAAAGGGCACTCAACAAACAAGAGCCCCAGGCACTGCCCTCCAGCAGCGCACAGACCATCTATGACCTGACACACAGGGCCCTTGTGACTCATCTGTGTCCTTAGAAAATTGGGAGCAATGATGAGTCAGCATCCTCCTCTTCTCAACTCACCCTCCAACTTCAGATGAGATTCTGGAGTAAGCACGACCTCATTCAGCTGCTAGCATCTCCCTGACTCCGCCTTTTTTTCTCCTCTATCTCTGTTTGGAATTCCCACCTTACTCTATTCTGTGTTGCAATAGACCCAAAGTAGCTTCTTTATTAACCAATGGTAATAAAACATATTCACAGCACACAGAGGGAAATCCCACATCATCCATGTTTATGAATCAATAGGATAAACACGGGGAAATGGACATTCTACCAACTGTCATCTATAGACTCAACACAATCCCCATGAAAATTCCAACACAATTCTACACAGATCTTAAGAGGAGAATTTTACAGCTTCAAATGTGAAAACACACACACACACAATAACAGAATAGCTATAACAATGCTGAACAATGGAAGAATTGCTGGAGGTCTAAACTTTCCTGCTTTCAAACTGCACAACAGACCTATAATGACAAGCACAGCATGGTACAAAAGCAGACACGTTCATCAAAGGACAAACATGCAGGCTCACACATAAGTGCAGGCAGCTATGTATACTTGATCTTTGCTAAAGAAGCAAGAAACACACACTGGAAAAATAGCATTGTTAACAGTTTTTGTCAAAAAAAGATAGTTGAATATAGAAGAATGCAAATAGATCCATACTTATCACCTTGTATAAAACTCAACTTCAAAAGGGTCAAAGACCTCAATATAAGAACAGATACACTGAACCAGACAGAAGAGGAATTGGGAAATGCATTTGGACACACTGGTATAGGAGATGACTTTATGAACAGAACACCAATAACACATGCCCTAAGAACAACAACTAATAAACAGGATCCCATGAGACTGAGAACCTTCAGCAAGACAAAGAATGCCATCATTCAGACAAGGCAGCATCTGCCATCACTCAGACAAGGCAGCATCCTAGAGAATGGGAAATGACATTTAACAATTTCACGTTCAATAGAGGACTAATACCCAAAACATATAAAGAACTCAAAAAACTTGATAGAAAGAAAATAAATAACCCTATTTTAAGATGAGGCACACATACAAACCAAGAATTCTCGAAAGAAATGTCTCTAATAGCTTTAACCACTTAAAGAACTGTTCAAAATACTTAACCATTACAAATATGAAAATCAAAATTTATATTGGTATAGTTTTTTGCATAGTGATACAAGTTCAAATTATATTTGTTATTTCTGTTTACAGTATTTGTACACCTATGCAGATTGTATACATGCATGTTTCTACCTCTGTTTAGGACATTTTGTATATTGATAAAACTTTTAGGATATATTTTCATATTGTATTATATACTATTCTTACCTCTGATCAAGATACTTATACATTGCTTACATTTTGAGGTCACTGTCCTCATTTGCTGCACATTTGTTTACAGATTATTTAATATTCTGATATGAAGTCTTTTATCTATACAAGTATTAAATATTATAGGTCAATAGTTATTCATTTTTGTTATACATATAGTCAGATTAATTAGGTTCTTTAGATACATAGAGATTGTATTCTGTCTAGATAGGTAATCTTCAACCACTGCAAGAATCTGCAGAACATGATATTTAAATAATTTAGGGTTATACTGATATGAGACACAATTGCTCCTGACAGCACCAATCTATTCCTGAGATAATGTTGAGCACCGAAGACACTCCACTTGGAATTTGTTCTTGGCACAATTGGTCTCTGGGCAAGGAACTGCTCATGCCTCAACCACTGACAAAGTACATAGTATCCAGAGACTGGATAAGCAGGGCACAAGGAAAAGGACCACCAAACCTTGTCAAGACAGGGTAAGATGATTCTAAAAATTTTCCTGCCTCAAACAATGGTCTGTCAGTTACACTAGGCCTTAGCTAAAGTTGGTTGCTTCAACATTGCAAATGAGACTTTGGGTGATTGCTCAGGTAGTCAACTGCCTCCATCATATACGGCTGGCTTTGGAAGATGCTTGATTGCACTTCCTGCCTACTCAAGTAATGTTATCTTCCTTCTCAGGCCTTCGATGGGGCTGAAGATTAGATAGTCTTAGTTACCTTCCTCTTATGATTTAGCCAAATCAATTTCCAATGCAAGACTTAGACTCTTTAAAATAGAATGTTTATTAAAACATTTATCATGTGTTTCTTGCTTAATATTGTTTATGTTGGTTGTAATTTTATACTTGATATCTGTTCCTATTGTATATAATTTTGTATTGGCTTGGATTGTTCTTATTTAGACAAAAGAGTAGGTGATGGGGAATATTTGTCAACCAATTATCTTTAAGAGGTGGAACCAAGTTAGGCTGTGGCTTTCTGGAACCTGGAGAAAAACAGCGCACAGCCTAGGTGCCCTCTCTGTGTGGTTCCCTTTTAGCACAGCTGAGCTTGGACTTCTCGTTCCTGTTTCGTGAGTTTGCCCCTTCTAATAAATATAAAAATGTAATTGTTTTATCTTTTAGATAGCCTGGTTATTTTTCAAATCGAGATAATTTGACAGTTCTGGTTCTTTGTAGGTGTTGGAGCATAAGGATAGACCCTCAGGATTAGATTATTTACACTCACAAAAGAGGCTGCCTCCCCATTCCCTTCCAACACTGACACAGTCAGGGTGCTACTTATAAATCAGGAAGTAAGGCCTCACCAGAAGCAGAATCTGCACTATCTTGCACTTTCAGCCTCCAGAAGAGCAAGCGGGAAATGTCTGCTGTTACTCATCACCCAGACTACGGCTCTTTACTCCAGTCACCCAAACAGACTAACTGCCCAGGTTCCAGACTCCCAGCAGGGAAATAAGAATTCAGCATAAACCTGTGGCTGGAACAACCAGTTTAGGCCCAGGGAGCCCCATTTACTAGCTCTGGAAACTGTGGCAGCCTCCACTACAAAAGGGTGAACTAGGAGGCCTAGCTAACTCAGAGGCCTGAGCTGCAAGGTCCACAGAGGTGCTGGAGAGATGGCTCAGCGGTTACACGTACTTGATACTCTTCCAGAGGACCCATACTTCAGTTCCCAGCACCCACAAAGAGTGGCTCACCACCATCTGTAATTTCAGCTGGAGAGGATCCAACACTCTCTTCTGGTATCTGAGGGCACTCACACATACACATAAGTAAAAATTTAAAAAAAAAAATCCTTAAAATGAAAGAATATTATTATTAAGGTCCCAATAGCAAACCAAAATCCCATTCCATGAAGTTCACCCTGGGAAACCCACAAGTTTATTGGGCTTACTTACAGATCATAGATAAGGGGTTATAGGCAAGAGCATAGCTGACCCCAAAGCTGCATGTGTACCCATGGCCACACAGATGGTGCCCCTCTCAGTTAACCATCACCAGCCACGTGTAATTAAATGATAACTATATACAAATGCTGGGAGCATAGTCCAGACACTCAGATGAGGGTCCAATGACCACCCCAACCTCTCTGTCTTAGTTGCTTTTCTATTGCTGTGATAAGACACCATGACCAAGGCAGCGAGTACATGACCATCATGGCGGGGACTATGACAGCAGACAGGCAGATGCTGTGGGAGAATGCTCTTGTACACTGTAAAGATTTGTCACTTGTATTGGTCTAATAAAGTGCTGATTGGCCAGTAGCCAGGCAGGAAGTATAGGCAGCGTGAACAGACTAAGAGAATTCTGGGAAGAGAAAAGGCAAAGACAAAGTCATGTGGGGGCCAAAATATGCAGGCCTATATTCCAGATTGTCTGGCAGTCAGAGAATCTGAGCCACTTATAAGGCACCTGCCACACAGGAGGGGATCGCCTGGCTCTTTTGAAGCAAATACTGTGCCACCTCAACAGGTGCCAGGATATGCTAATGTCGTTCTGCTCCTTCTATTATAAATTATGAGGTCACCTGGGAAAGAGGTGTTTTCAGTCTACATGACAAAAATAGGTATAGACAAGATGTGACTTAAGTCATTCCCCACTACCTAGGAAACAGAATGCTAATGAAGTTTTGTTAACTTCCCTCTATGATAAAAAAGCTGTTTGGAAAATAAATGTGGGCGGCTTCAGGATTTGAATGATCACTGAAACACCCTCCCGATACTGTCATGTGAATAGTGTCTTCATTCCCACGCCTCTACGCTGGTGAGAAATGTTTTATGTTGGGGTTGAACCCTGAAAAACACAGAAGAGTAACCAGATGTACAGAGGATAACATGAGGAACCCATGAAAAAAACTGCACCACAAGTGGAAAGGTGAGTAAGGAGCACTCAGAAATAAGTTGTAGAATTTTAAAAAGCAGAAAAGCAGGAAATAAAAATCAGGAGTAAAAATTTGTAAATAATAAATATAGATATGGGACAAGGAAGTAGCATTCAGTTATGTATGTTGATAACTAAAGGAGCTAACAGTGGAGCAGAAACAAAGGCAGAGATATTTAGAGTTTGTAAATGGCATATTCCCACCCCTGCACTGGCTGAGTACCCGCAGCCTCTGGCTCAGGGAAGCCAAGGTGAGGCCGCGCCTTCTCCTACAAGTGGCAGTGGAGATGAAGCTTCTGTCGCTGCTGAATGGGCAGGAAGAGTGAAGGAAGTGTAGTGTTTTGCTAGCTATCGTCTGGGTACTGCTGAGATGGTGGCAGTCCACGCACAGGCATTGTAGCCAGCTGAGTCTAACCTGCCTGCGTGGTAGAGCCAGAAAGGCAAGCAGGTCAATAGAAATGCATAGAGGCTAAATTTCCCATGCCTCTACACTGGTGAGAAATGTTTTATGTTGGGGCTGGACCCTGACATAAGTCACCAGCCCGACGCAGAGGAAGCAAGATGAGAATGCCTCACTGAGAAAATGTACCAAGCCACGTGGCTAAACATAGCCAAGAATTATGGGTTAATTTAAGTTGTAAGAGCTAATTAATAAGAAGCCTGAGCTAATAGGTCAAACAGTTTATAATTAATGTAAGCCTCTGTGTGTTTCTTTAGGACTCAATGGCTGCAGGACCAGGTGGAACAGAAACTTCTATCTTCAGGCAGGCATAGAGCTACGGGAGCAGCTGAAGTTCACATCTGATCCATAACCATGAGGAAGAGAGAGCTAACTGGGAACAGTGTGGGCTTTTGAAACTGGGCAGTGACACACCTTCTTCAACAAGGCCACATCTCCTAATCCATCCCAAACAATTCTACTACCTAGGGACCAAGTATTCAAACATAAGAGCCTATAGAGGCCATTCTCATCCAAACCACCACCCCCTCCTACTCTGAGGGAATGCAAACAGTCCACAACTGGATCACAATGGACTCTCATGAATAGGCACAGCTGATCTTATGAAACAACAGGTAGTAGCTGAATTCAGCCAGCAGATTACATTGACCAACCTCTTCTTCAGAACTTACTAGCTTCAGGTTCCTCAGAGAACTGGCTGGAAGCTCTAAACCTTGGCTGGAAAAGTCAACGTCTTCCTGCCTACCTTTGATGATCTTCCTAGCAAACTCTCGGATAGACTTGAGGGAGGCCAAGTCTAGGTGTTGGGCTCGTACATGGGGATTCAAGGTCTCTCCACGAATGTCCTTCGCAGCTGCCTCACACTTCTCCATGTCACGACAGGCCAGAATGACATTGCCTCCTGGATGCCCAGAAGAAAACATGAAAAGAAAAAAAAAATAAATGCACCCCTACATATCTATCCAACAGACATAAAAGTGTACACCCGCTAAAATCTGTATGCAAGCAATCTTAGTAATATATTCAATGACCAAAAGACAGAAATGCAAATATCACCAGGCTTGATGGTATAGGCCTGAAACGGCAGTGACTCTGAAGGCTGAGGCAGGAGGACTGTAAGTTCAAGGCCTGTCTGGGCTACAGAGTGAGTTCAAGACCTACCTAGGCATTTTAGTAAGAAGCTTCTCAAAAAGTAAAAAGCAGGGCTGAGGATGTAATTCAGTAGTAGAGCACCTGCCTAAAATCTACCAGTACAGGGCTAGGGGCATGTCTCAGTGGTAGAGCCCCTGCCTAGAATCCCCCAGTGAGGGGCTGGGGTGTGGCTCAGTGGTAGAGCACCTGACTAGCAAATGAGAGGCTCTGAGTCCAATCTCCAACACAAACAAACAATAGCAAGCATCCATCCACTAATCAATAGATAAACCAACTGCAGCCTATCTGTGCAATGAATATTCAGTCATAAAAGGGAATGACACACTAACATATGACACAGTGAATGGAGCTTGAAATTACTATACTCGGTTAGTCAGACACAAAATTCATACATGACACACTCCTTTAATCCCAGCACTTGGGAGGCAGAGTTCAAGTCCAACCCAACCTACAGACGAATTCCAGGACAGGCTCCAAAGCTACAGAGAAGTCTGTCTCGAAAAACCAACAATAATAACTATTATTATTCATACATACATGCTTCCATTTCTATAAAATGTCCCAAAGAAGCAAATGCAGAAAGAAAGAGCAGACCCAGGTTTCCTGGAGCTGTGGCAGCAGGGGAAGATCAGGTTGCCATGGGTGACGAATAAAGGGATGATGGGTATCTTAAGGGTCATGAAATATTCTAAGGCCATGTTAGAAGATGGAAACATTTTGAGAGCACATGTGAATGTGCAGTGAGCTTAGTGCTACTGTTACTCTGAGAAATGCCACCAGACGCTGTCTTCTGTCCTCCACAAGCATGTGCACACATACACACACACACAAATACACACAAATACACACAAGCAAACTTTCAAGATATACAAATACAGGGGCTGGAAATTGGCTCAACAGGTAGAGGTACTTGCAGTTAAGTCTGGCCTAGGAACAACATAATGGAAGAAGAAAACCAGCTTCCATAGTTGTCCTCTGAACTACACACACACACACACACACACACACACACACACACACACACAATGGCAAAGCTCAAACCCTATCCCACCCCAACATACACATACTACATAGTAAAAACAGATTTTTTTTTTTTTAAGAATGTAACTACTCCAACAAGCAAAACTACACAGTAGTCTTTTAGGGGTCGAGCTTTTCTCACTTAGCGCACATCCTCTAGAATCATCGCACAGGACCATGTCCAAATTCCTTTCCCTTCGAAAGCTTGATAATATTCCACTGTGGATGGACCACATTCTGACTGTCTGCAAATGAGGACCTAGAATGCTTCCTTCCACCTCTGAGCTATTTTAAACAACACTGCCATACACACCAGTGTGCACGAATCTCTTCAAATCCCCGAAGCAGGTGTTGCTCTTACCTCTTTTAGCCAATTCCAAAGCAGTTTGCTTCCCAATACCTGTGTTGGCTCCTGTCACAATGACAGTCTTCCCGGGTATGGTGGCCTTGCTGGGACAAGCCCCACCAGCGACATAGTCCCTGAGGGTGAGAAACAGCTGAATGAATTCTCTCTGCCTCATGCTTGGACTTATGATCCGGGGCCAACCACCCTTCTAAGTTCACATCCCCCATCAAAGCACCAAAACACAGGGTGTTCTTATCACGGTCTCAGAAAAGACTACACTTGGGAAGTCTCTGTGAGGTGGCAATACTATTTTTTTATAAAAACAAAAGATTAGGGTCAGAGGTGGTGGCAAACACCTTTAATCCCAGCACTTGGGGAGGCAGAGGCAAGTGGTTCTCTGAGTTCAAAGCCAGCCTGGTCTACAGAGTGAGTTCCAGGACAGCGAGGTCTACACAGAGAACAAAATAAAACAAAAAGACTGTAAAGCATAAGCCCAGCTTTGAGAGGCAGTGGCAGAAGGACCAAGAATTCAAGGTCATCCTCAACAACACAGCAAATTCAAGGCCAGCCTAGGCTATGTGATGCCTTGTCTCAAAATATGTAAATAAAATAAAGGACATGAAGTGGAAGGAGGATGCATCAGAAGGGGTCCAGGGAGTTGGAGAACATGAGTGGGAAGTAGCTATGGTTAAAGTACATTATATACAGCGTGGGGTTGGAGAGAAGTCTCAGCAGCTGGAGCTCTGCTGCTCCCACAAAGCTTCCGGGTTCAGTTCCCAGCACCCACGTGGTGTCTCAACCATCCACAACTCCAGTTCCAGCTCTGACACACTCTCACTCTTGTAATCTCAGAAAGCACGACATAAACAGACACGCAAGGGAAAAAAAAAAAAAAAGCAGGCCGTGCATGGTGACACGCGCCTTTGATCCCAGCATTCCGGGAGGCACAGGCAGGTGAATTCAGTCAGCCTGGTCTACATGAGTTCTAGGTCAGCCAGGGCTGCACAGTGACACCCGGTGTAAAAACGCAAGGAAGGAAAGAAGGGAGGAGATGGAAGAGAAGGCAGACAGGAAGTGCGGAGAGGAGGAAAAGTAAAGAGGGATCCAGAGACAAAAAGTGTGCAAGGTCCGGGCCCCATCTCTTCTCCCTAGGTGACCTTGGGAAGGTGACCCACCCCTCAGCTCAATCTGGAAAAGCGGTGCTGGTGGGTAAGCTGGAAGAATCCAGGAATGAGGACTGAGGATAAAGGATCCTTCTCTGGCCTTATTCTGCAGTCCCCTGCCGCAAGTCTACCACCGTGCGCGCAGAGACGCGCACAGACTCACTTGAGCAGCACGGTGCCACCGATCACCGTGCCCACTACGGACACCGGCAACAGAAAGCGGTTCATTCCAGGTTGGGGAACAAAGGGCCGGTTGATCTGCCCTCCGGGCCACTACAACCCGGGGCCCGGCAGAACACGTGCGAGCGTGGACGTGGAAGGACGCGGCCTCCAGAACACGCCCTGAGGTGGGACCAAGCGCCGGGACGGGGCTTCTTTGGGAGGTGGGCCCATGGCGCACTTAATGCTGGGAGTCGTAGTTTCAGGAGATGGGGCGGGGCCGAGGTTGACGGGCGTGCCAGCGCCGGATCAAACGCCGTCACTCTCAACCAATCCAAAAGCCTCCTGAGGTGGGGTTTGTTTTGTTTTGTGTTGTTGTGTTGTGTTGTTTTGTTTTAAACAGCTGGGAGCTACTCCCAGCACTCCGGAGACAGAGGCAGGCAGATCTCTGAGTTCGATGCCAGCCTGGTCTTCAGAAGGAGTTCCAGAAAAGCACTGTCTCAGGAGGGCGAGGTGGGGGAGTTTGGTAGAAACCTTTACCATTTATTTCCAGACAGCGAGTCCCCGTAGAATGAACTTCCCCCACTACATGATATTTAACCATAGTACTTTCTTCATAGGTCTTGTGGGGGAAGGAGGAGGGCTGGGGCCCTGACCGCTCCGTCTGAGGGAGGAGGGTGGGGTCTGAACTGTGTCTAAGTGAGGACGTGTGGGTTTGGTCTCCTGGGTCTGAGGGAGAAGGCTGGGACCGGGACCCCTGGGTCTGAAGGAAAAGAAAGCTATTGACTTTAAAATGACATACTGAGCCCAGTGGGGTGGCTCGTGGGATGAAAGAGCTTGTTATACAAGCTTTGCAACTTGTGTTTCATCCCTAGAACTCGCAGGAGGAAAGATAAAGCCAACTCCCAAAAGCTGTCCTCTGACCTCCCACCGTGGCACGTATGTGCTCACACACAAACACACCCAAACAAAACAAAAGTAAACAGACAAATGTTGGTGTCTAGAAGCTGGGGGGGGGGGGGGAAGGACAAGAAAAGAAAAACAGACAGAAGGAAGGAAAGGAAGTTAGGGGGAAAGCTATAGATTGTGGAGGAATGCATCCTGAGGTAGAAAATTTCCCAGCACACTTGGCATCTCATTTGTCCTCCTGAAGGTGACAATGAGATAATATTTTTCAATTATCAGATTGGCAACATTGAATTATGTTAAACATTCAGTGCTGGCAAGGATGGGGAACTCTCTGTTGGCAGGGGTGTCACTTTTCCGGTGTTCCTGAAAGCCTTGTTGCAGGGTCATCCAGTCACTCCCCTATGTAAGAAGTCACGCTTAGGGGATGATTGGTTGTTCCAAAAAGAACAACCAGCCTTCATGAACATTTGTGGGTACTACCTCACCACTTCTTCCAACAATTATTTAGCGCCTCTTGTGTTCCCAACACAGTCACAGCTGAATTCAGTCTTTGCCCTCACAGTTCCCCAGACTGTAACAGTAAAAGGTCATTCTCCTGGGCCTGAAGGATAACCCAATGGTTAAGAGCACTTGCTGCTCTTGCAGAGGACCCAGGTTCAGTGCCCAGCACCCAACATGACAGCTCACAACCATCTGTCACTCCAGTTCCAAAGGACCAGGCATCCTCTTCTGATCTTTATGGGCACTGCACAAAAACGGCGCACAGTCATACAAACAGGCACAACACTCACTTACATAAAATAAATAAATTAATCTTTAATTTAAAAGGTGTGTTTCTAAAAATGTCTGAGTCCCTTCATTTACCACCAATGTGAGGAGATGTCCTAATTAGGGTTATTATTGCTATGATGAAACAACGTGTCCAAAAGCAAGTTGGGGAGGAAAGGGTTTATTAGAATGGCTTACAGCCTGTGGGCCAGCTAGTCCAACAATGGTTGTCTAGCAATGGTCCAAGAATCTAATAGCCATTCAGTCTGTGAGGCTGGCCTTCAGGATACACCAGAATCCTGAAGAAATAGGCTCCAATGCCAGTGAAGCAATGGATTTGGAAAGAGCATGATTAGAAAATTGCATCTGGAGTTGGAGATCGCTGACCATGTGTTTTGGAGAAGATTGCAAAAGTACCTTGGCACTCTGTGCTAGAAAAGCCTTTGAGTGCTGAGACATTAGTGGTCTGTTCTGTAGGAGCTTGGAAGATAAGAATGTTGAAGTCAAGCCAGTAAGCAACCCTTCTCCATGGCCTCTGCAACAGTTCCTGCCTTCAGGTTTCTGCCCCTGTTTGTGTCCCTGTCCTGACTTCCTTCAATGATGAACAGTGATGTGGAAGAGTAAGGCAAATAAACCCTTTCCTCCTCAAGTTGCTTTGGTCATGGTGTTGATCACAGCAAGAGTAACCCTAACTGAGACAGTGGGGGAAGGGGAGCCAAGCTGTGGAATAAGCCACAATGGTGGGTACTGTTGTGAAATATTTAACTATGTAAAGATGTGTAACATTTGTTTATGCTATGGAATATTATGTTAACTGTGTAAAGGTGTGTTACATTTGTTTAAGAATGTAAGGATGCATGTTTAATTATGTAAAGATGTGTTGCATTTGTTTCACCTTGCCTGCCTAAGGCATCTGATTGGTCTAATAAAGAGTTGAATGGCCAATAGTTAAGCGGAGAAAGCATAGGCAGGACTGGCGAGCAGAGAGAATGAATAGGAGGAGGAATCTAGGATCCCGAGAAGAATGAGAAGAGAGAAGAAGGAGAAGGAGAGAGCAAGGGAGAAAGAGAAGGACATGCCCAGGGCAAGAAGCCAGGCAGCCACCAGACAGACAGACAGACACAAGAAGCAGTGAAAGTAAGATATACAGAAGCAAAGAAAAGTAAAAGACCCCAGGGCAAAATGTTGATGAAGAGAAACAGGTTAATTTAAGTTTTAAAAGGTAGCCAGAAACAATCATAAGCTAAGGCCAAGCATCCAAAACTAATAATGTCTCCATGTCATGATTTAGGAGCTGGTTAGTGACCCAAAAGAAAAAGCCTACTACAGGCTATTTTCTTGGGTTTGTTTGCTTGCTTTCTTGTTTGTTTGTTTGTTTGTTTGTTTGTTTGTTTGTTTTGAAACAGGGCCTCCTGTAGCTCAGGCAGGTCTCTAACTCACTGGGTAGTTGAAGATAACCTGAGTGCAAGCATCCTAACTTCCTCTCTACTGCTAGGTCAAATTCTTACTGAGAAGGCCGGTTGGTCCTCTCAACTGCCCTAGGAGTAGGGCCACTCCACCCAGTAGCAGGAAAGAGCCACAGACAATACACAGACAAACCAGCATGGCAGTGTCTCAATAAAGCTTAGTGCAGAAAACAAGCATTAGGCCACAGTTTGCCAGCCCCTACCATGCAATTTCAGAAAGATGTCATTTGTGCTTACAAGAACCTGGTCCACAGTGAGTCCCGGAACGTGGCTGGCTAGGAAAGTGGTTATTACAAAGAAAAAGATGCAAGCAAACTCCTGCTTTTGAAGGCCTCCTACCCGATTCCCAGACACACCCATGGTGGATGGAATGTCTTTGTAAACTTCGAGTTGGCTGTGCTCCCTTAGCCAAGGTTTCTGTTGTCAGGAAGAAGCTGACACGCACTGGGTGCTGTCCCAGGTGCTGAGAGGATTCGCCCGCAGGGTCCCTTGATCTTCCCAGGGCAGATGCTTCAAGGCACCCAGCAAAGGTCTCTCTCAGCCCCTCCTGCCCTCCCTGGATTCCTCTCTACCTCTCTCTCCAACTCTTTCTCCCTCCCTCCACCTTCAACATTTTTTTTTATATAGAGTCTCTTGTAACCCAGCCTGGCTCAGACTCCCCTCCACAGCTGAGGGACGACCTTGAATTCCTGATTCTCCTGACTCCACCCCATCCAAGGTCTGGAATTACAGGTTCACACCACCTTGCTTGGTTTATACAGTGCTAGAGCTCCTGACTGGACATTCTAAGAGCTAGGAAAACTGAAGTATTTTACACAGCACTGGGAATCAGACCCAAGGCTTTGTTCATGCATGGTGGACAAGTACTCTACCAACTGAGCTATAGCCCCTTGTTTGAGTTACTGAATAGTGGGGTCATTCGTTACATGGCCGCAGGAAGTAAAGTAAGCATTCTGTTTATCAGTACACCTTGTTGGAAAAAACCTTGAACAAACTCTTCAGATCCTGAGCAGGGTCCAATGTTGAAACTCCAGTCCCTTCCCCCTCATTGCTGTTGCCAAACTCAAACTCCTCTATGACCCGCATCCCGATGGCCGGGGCAAGGCAGCTTCTAAAGACAAGACAGCCTTGTCTGGACAAGCAACCCAGGAGGGAGAAACTGAGGACTGGCACGTAGCTCCCATTTTCCGACTCCCCTATAAAAACTCTGCTTATTCCCTCCCCGTTATAGTAGACACCCCTTTCCTGCTATGTCAGCCCCTCAATATTTGAAACAAACATTCAGTCCATTGAGGTCAGTGTCCACTCTCTTTTCTGCGTCTGTCCCTTTAAATTGCCTTAGAAATCTAACCTACCTCACGGTAATGGTTCAGTAATTCAGAAAAGGGAAGGGCAAAAGAGATGGAGGAACAGAGGGTGGGTGAGAAGGGACTGAAGAGGTAGAAGAAGAAAGACACAATAGGAGAGTTGGTGATGTTCCCTACCAGACTCTGGGCAAACAAAGACAGACTGGGGGCATCCTGGAGAGGGAAGAGGAGGCTTCTGTGGGAAGGCAGGACACCAGTGGCCAGAAAAAGGAGCTCCCAACTGTGAGACAAGCTAGGCATAAATAAATAAATAATTAAATAAATAAAGATAGATAGATAGATAGATAGATAGATAGATAGATAGATAGATAGATAGATAGATAAAAGTAGGAGACAAGAATGTCTCTGGGGTGGAGAGGGGGAGCAGCCTGATTTTGAGGTGAAGTTTCAGGGGAAATAGAAGAGAGGATGCAGCTCTAGAAAAAGAACCTAGATCGTGGCATAAAAAACAGGCTGCAGAGCTTGTCTGCAGCTCAAGGGTACTCGGTAGCCACAGAGGAGTTTAGAGCAATGACAGTTATGAGTAAGATGGCTGTTTTCATGAAGTGGGGGTGCTGTGGGACAATGGTCTGTACCCTGTTACTTGTACTTTAAGTAAACGCTGATTGGCCAGTAGCCAGGCAGGAAGTATAAGTTGGGATACCAGGAAGGAATTAGAGGCTGGGCAACAAGAAAAAGGAAAGA